AAATCTTTTTTAAGAAGGTGGAAATCCCATTTTGTCCCCACTTTTTAAAGTAACTAATCCATTTTTTAAAGACGTGAAATAATTTACTGATTGTTTATTTTTTTTGGACAACCAGAAAATAGTGGGATGTTATTAACATATAATAAAAACATGCATATGTTGGACAAAGGAAACATTCAAATAGATTGAGTTGAATAATCCCATTCTATAATGTTCTTCAGATTGTTACTATAATTCTTAAAATATAGAGCTAATGTTAAAAAAGAAAACCTATTCCTGACAATAAATTTTAAATAGTAAGCCTTTAAAGGAAAGTGTAATTAAACTTTATAAAAGTGCAAATGATGTGGGTAGTTCCCAAGAGAAAAATGCCTATGTCATCCAGCAAGGTGTTCCCTTCATGACATTCTGTCAAAATAGACACAGATACAAATCAAAAGAATTATTATTATTGCCAAAGTTCTAACAATTATGAGAAACAAGCATGTTACATTTCAGTAATTCAAACATAATATTCCAACAATTAAGCAGAAAAATGATCTTACAGTGCAGTTTATAATATCTATTTTCTGGTACTAATACTTTTGGATAATTGAGCAATTTGTTTCTTCCAATGAATTTGCCAACAGATAATTGGAATGTTATGTTAACATCAGCTAAGCAAAATAAGAAATGAGAGTAATTGTTCATCTTAACTTGATCTTGTAAGAGAAGCTTTTGCATTGTTTTGTGAAATTCTGTGTTATTCCTTTTCTCAAATCATTTCTGAGAAAAAGTTTACATCTGCCATAGCTACATACACATATTAGCCTGATAGTTTAACTTCATGTCACATGAAACTACCAGTCCAGAGCATTTAAATAACGTACTTTTTGTCAACAAGTCAGAAAATAGTATCCTATTCTGCTCTTCAATGACATTGGTGTCAATCCAGGAAAATGTCAAGACAACAATTTAACCTAACCAGGTGACATCTGAGACTCAGGTAATAAAGTATCCGCAAGAGGTGTTTATTGATCACCAAAAT